CTGAACACAGCTGTAAGACCTGAACACAGCTGTAAGACCTGAACACATCTGTAAGACCTGAACACAGCTGTAAGACCTGAACACATCTGTAAGACCTGAACACAGCTGTAAGACCTGAACACATCTGTAAGACCTGAATGTATCTATAAGACCTGAACACATCTGTAAGACCTGAACATCTGTAAGACCTGAACATCTGTAAAACCTGAACACATCTGTAAGACCTGAACACAGCTGTAAAACCTGAACACATCTGTAAGACCTGAACACATCTGTAAGACCTGAACACATCTGTAAGACCTGAACACAGCTGTAAAACCTGAACACAGCTGTAAGACCTGAACACATCTGTAAGACCTGAACACAGCTGTAAAACCTGAACACAGCTGTAAAACCTGAACACAGCTGTAAGACCTGAACATATACTGTATAAGACCTGGACATGTCCGTAAGACCTATCTGCAAGACTTGAAGAGGTCTGGATGACAGCAGTTTTTGGGTTAAACCAGGACTGGTCAGGGATCAGAAGGTTATCCAGCTCACCTGACTCCTGAAGGCCCAGCAGCCTTTGGTCTTGCTGGTTTGGACGAACGCTCGAGCTCCAATTAAAACCTGAAACCAAACATCTGTCAAGTWTCTGCGTGATTCTGGCTGCACATGTGATGAAACACCCATGATCTTACCAGGAAACCAGAACCCCACAGGCCCGTGGCCCAGGTGGCCTCTCGGGTCACATGACCCTCCAACAGGAAGTGGATCTTCAGCTCAGGAAGCAGCAGTAGGATGTTGGAGAGCATGCAGACGATTGCCATGGGAATCAGAGACACGCCCACACACCGCAGACACCTCGACACACACATCTGCCAGCCCAGAAACAGACAACAGTAAACAATGACGCAATGAACATAAACAAACATGAATATGGTAAACATCAATAAACATGGCTGCTGACTTGTCTCAGAACCAAACGTTAGTAGTTTTATATCTGCTGAAATCTCTCAGCTACTGCCTGAAACTCCAGTACCACCGTTCTTCTGTAAAGTCTAATAATAACAATAACAATAATAACAATAATAACAATGATAATAATAATATTGTTATTATATTTGTTATAAAGATGTTTACAGGTCTGAGTAGAAATATTTCCATTTTATTTTTGCTCTGGATAAATGTCGTCACGAAGACTGGACCTATACTGGATCTATGGGGAAGAGATGCATGCTGGGTAATATAGAAGTAGAAACAAAGAAACTGCAGGAACCTCGGAGCAGAACCAGGAAGCTGAAGCTGGAGAGGACAATCTTTAAGTCCCGCCCCCTTCATAGTATAAACAGTGCAGATAAACGTGCTGCTGTGGACTTAAACACTATTTTTGGACGACGTTCAGCTGAAATGATGTCATGCTTTAAAAAAAGAAKGTCATGTGACRCCATGATTGTGTGTGTGTGGGGAAGTAGGCGGGGCTTAAAACCCCACATTTGCAGCTTCTGTACCAGGTTCCTGTTGGCTTCAAGTCCAAACAGCTGAAGAATACAAGGTCTGGTATTAGAATACGTCCCTGTAGAAATGCAGACTTCAAAGTAAGCCTCAGACACACTGCACAGCTGCTGAGTGCAAACAACCAATCATAACTGAGAGCAGCAGGTTGTTTATTCATCTGACATTTAATGTTTCACTGTAAATAAAATACAGTTTTATGAGATGTAAATATCATTGCATCTTTTATTTACTTCTTATAATCAGGACCTCCTGCACCAGCAGAATAAAATAACTTCCTGTGGTTGACATGATGATCCAGGGTGTTTGTTTGTAATATTCATTAAAAACTGCAAATCAAACAGAAATACTCAATAAATAC